GCACACTTAGGCCTAATTTTATTGTTTCTGACATCAAGTTAAAAATGGTCTACTTCACAGACCGGCTAGGTAGCGCAAAATGGCTGCAATGTAAAACATAGGCTAGGCCTGCAACACCATAATCCCACGATGCTAATACAAGTCATATAACTTTAAACAATAATCATCAGCAAACTCACAATTCGCTGAACTCCATTGGGTATCAAACCGGCATCTGAATCTTCCTAAATAATGAAAATAACTAAAAGAATACCCTACACATTACAATGACTTCCCTTCTCATGGATGGTAGGCCTAATGGTGTGAAACATAATCTCAAATGGGACGTCCCTGAATGTTACCCGCTACCCATGTAAACATATAAAAAATTGCCAGTAGGCAACACAGCCCCAACAAGTGCCACCCATTTGTTTTTTTTTCTCCTGTGCCTTCCTTGCCCAAATTATACAATGTAAGATAGATCATCTCACCTTCTCTGTTTTCCCGATTTGGTTTGCCATTCAGTTAATTTCTTTGTCCATTTATTAATTGTCATTATCTCTACGAGCCATACGACCTGTCCATCTCCAATATGCCTATCTTATTCTTTCTATGATGTATTTGACTTTAGTTTTATCTCTTATTACAGTTGTCTTGGTCTTGTCCCTTATAATATGTAACATTGTCCTTTCCATAGCATATTGTGTTGTCTCAAGTTTTTCTAGAGCTTTGGACAATCACCATGTTCCTGCGCAACTTCGGCAAATAGCACAGTATTGACTCCCAAAATTTCACTTGAAGCTGGGAGTGAGCATACTTTGTGCACATGACATATCTATGCCAGGAAATATCAAATTTAAAAAAATATATTGTTGAAAAACACCAAAAGAGTAAGATTGAAGGTAAGGGGCTTACTTTTATGTCTATACCTCCTTTAGGAATAAACCTGTAGCTCCCTGATTAATTCTAGCCATATACTTATAGTGTAGGCCTACTGGAATTCATAGGCCTCAATTAAGATTGCAAGGATAATAATGTAATAGATAAACAATAGGTTATAAAATATTATATTATTATAGTGGTGATAAAACAAAATCTCAATGAGAGGCTAGTGG